TCTACCGATAGATATTTTAGGTCTTATCTTTTAAAAATCACCGTGATTTTTTCTTCTCATTTTCTTCTAACACTACAATGACAAGGCACAAGAGCTGCTTAAATATAAAGTATTGGAAAGGAAAAATACAATTCAGTTCTTGAAACACTATTTTCACTTTTCAGGTACTACCATGTTTAGTGGCTGGCATATTGGTTAGTGTAGATAAAGTATGTAGAACATTGCAGGATGTTTTAGTGGACATCCATGTTCCAATTCTCCAATATATAAGTTAAATGTATCAGGGTACAGGGTATTTGCCAGAACCATGTACTGAAATCCATCTATGCTCATAACTTTCATCTAATGAAGGAATCTGCTGTGACTGGATAGAAAATAAAGACAGATACAGACTGGAGAGCACACCATTTCTTGCAAACAATAGACAGTTTAAAAATAATCACTCCAAGTCACTTTTAGTCTCTTTTGGGAAGATGTTATTTATTTTAAGACGTCATTTTTATTAAATACACTGTAGTACAAGAGACTCTCCATGTCAGGTTGAGAGAAGCTGGTCACATGATTTACAAATAAAATTGTTTTGTTGTTGTTGTTGTTGTTTGTTTTTTAGCACTGATATTCTGGTGTCACTTTGAAATCAGCCAAGATGCAGAGGGTCTTAGTAAAGCAATGAACCTCAAAACATTGCAAAAACAAGAACCAGTAAATTTTAGCACACAGACATCACGTCAAAAGGAAAAGAAAGCAAATAAAAGAATAGAGATTTCCAAATACCAGGTCACAATTTAAGGGGCAATATATATCTTCAGAGAGATATTGAAATGTGTTATATGGCCTGGATATATACAAACCTCTCTATGAACAAAAGAAATGCAGCGTATCCACATCTCTAGGCAGATTTGTATGTGATAAAGTATTATCAATGAATACAGGGAGCAATATTTCACCATTTGTTATTTGTTAAGGAGTTACATATTTAAGATCCACATTTAATTCAAATACCATGTATTTAAAACATTTCCAGCTGTTTTATACATTTTTAAAGAATTAGTAAGATATACAAGCTGCAAGCTATAGGTTTTCTTTTTATTCCATTTATGTTTACCATTTTTTCCAATTCAAATACATGACTATCAGCAGCTTATGCTATATTTGCTCCAGTATGTTTAATACTTGATCAGTCTTTACTCAGGATCATTTTTGTAATCACAAACTAAACAAATAAAACAAGTATGGACCTGGCCTAGAATGCATAGACTGAAAAAAACAAATAAACAAAAAAAGACATCCCCACATTTTCCTAGTTCATCTCCTGAGACATATGTTAAGATGACAAAATAGTTGCTTGGTTGCTATTGTGAAATTCACAGTGTTTTGCCTACAACACACACATATATGTACATATATATGTTTTTTTTGCTTTGCTTTGTGTTTGTGATGAATGTAGAAAAAATATATATAAATAAATAAATGAATAAATAAAAGTTAAAAGAAAGGGGGAAATCTAATAAACTAAGTGTATTCAAGGATGTTAATTTCAGCAGTAGTGAATCATTCCAGTCCTGACAACCAGAAAACAGTCCACAATGTGCTTTCATATTTCTCTGTAAAGCACTACCATCTCTAATTCTTTAAAATAGTATTTGACATTATAATCCAAGCATTTCATCACTCTAAAATTAAGCACTGTAAAGAGCTAGCTTTAATTGTCTGTTCAACCATTGGACATTTGCTTCATTGGCCCAAATGAAATCTTTAGTAGCATGTTTTAGGGCAAACTAAAACTCAATATTAAAAAAAAAAATTCAGATGAAAGGATAAACTGAAGAGAAGGGGAACTGAGGATGTGTACATTTAATAATCAATAATTTAATGTTCTAAGCTTGGTAAAAAAGTTCTAACATGGAAAAAAAAAGTTAAAAAGAAAGTCCACTCATGACCAGAGGCTGCTGATTTTGACTCTCCAAAGAACAGCATTTTACACTTAGATATGAGAACTCCCCACTTTACCATGAGGTGGGGACTTGGACTTCTCATCATTGACATTCAAGACCCTGGTCACTCAACATCCCAGATCTCTTTTGGAATGCATGTCTCTTCTAGAGACAAGGGGTCACATGGGAAAAGATGAACATAACACAAATGTGCAAAATGTTTTAAGAAAACAGAGTTCCCTTTCCTGGATCTTTACATAAGGAGATCTAGTTCTGTCTGTATTCTCCTTTGTTAGGAGCCAGAGAAAGGACTCGGTATATGGGGATGGCTTTGATTCAGAGGTTTTGGGAAGTGCATTATTTTAAATATGTCTTCCGGCCAGGCAGCACTGCACAGAATTGAAAAGTGTGACATAGTCTAACCATGTGGAGAACCAAAACACTAACAGCAATATGGCATTAAAAGTTTTGGCTATTTAGCAGATTTTAAGCAACTTATTCATAGTTCACCCTACTTATAATTATTTATATTACTGTGTGCCTGTAAATTTATACATAAGCACATAAACACACTAGGGATGTGTGTTAGTATATGTGTAAATCAAGTTCTATAACACCCAAATAAATAGATGAAAATACAAGTAGTGCTGATGTGAACATATATGCATACTATGAATTCTAATATAATCCTTTATAGCATAGTTCAAAATATTTTCTATATAATGCCTGATTATGACATTTATTCAATGTATGAGGGCTTAGCTGAAGCTATGAGTATGGTTATATGTCCCATTTCCTCAGCAGCTTGTCATCTCATGATATATTCCATGATATATTCCAACAGAATATATTACATTTTGTTCTAACTGTATATGCTGTTCATTGAATTTTTTAGCTTGCTTTCTTCTCTGAACTCCTTATGTATACATATATATAGATATATGTCAGAGTCTCCAGCAGACAGAATCATAAACTTCAGAATCAGAATTCTTCCAATTAAGTCCCAGTGGTGCCAGAAGCTAGTCTAGAGATTTCTAGCATATGATTTAACTTCTTTGAGTCTCAACTTCCTCTCCTATAATAAAATAATGCAAATAATTTGCTAATCTGTGTGAAAAGTGTTTGGAAAATTATCAATTGATAAATGTCATGATGTCAGATTGCGTTTGAACTAGGGATTTAGGTGGCTTAATATATTTCACAGCACGCTACAAATCACTATATTTTAGGGTGAGGATACTCTAAAAATGTGAAGAGCATTAGAAGAGAGGATGGTAGAGGAACAGTGATGAATATTTAACAATATATAGTGGGTCATTCCTCTAATTTGAAAACAAACTGTTTTTCTTTCAATGCAAGACGTCTCTCAGACCAGCACATACTCTTGAGACAGCAGGGGGAGGGATACTTAGCATCGTAAATAACTATAAAACTTTGTACTTGCATAGAACCTTTCAAATCAAGAAATAAAAATCCCCTAGATGGGGCTTGTCAGAAAATAAAGAGAAAAAAAATTTTTGCTTTTTGCTTTTTCTTTCTTCCAGAGGAAAACACAAATCTGAACCGTGTTTCCATCTTCTCATTTACCTTAAACAAATTCATGTTTTTAAAACTAATCAACCCTCCTTGAATTTGATCCCTAAGCTTATTATTCCCTTTATTCTCTGTTAAAATAAAACAAATAACTTGCAGCCTCTTCTCCCAGAGCAGCTGGCTGGTCATGCAAATGATAGACTTATGTATGTTTTCAGATCAGTGCAGATGGAATCAGGAAAAGTTTGTACAAATCTGCCCCTTTACTGCTTCAGATGCCACAGTGTTTTAACAGTACCACGGGCCCTTAAAAGGATATATACGTACAAGTATGTATCCTGGAGATATGGCTTTCATTATATTATGTGTTTTCTGAATGGGTTGTTTATTCTGCAGAGAGAACAAATCAACTCCCGTGTCTCCCGAGACCAGACAGAACTTGAGGGGGCTGTACAGTTCACCTTGTCCAACCCCTTCAGGAGCTCACATGTTACAGGGTTTCCTTTTGCTTTCTGTTCACTGACCGCCCCCCCCCCCACCTTTTTGAGAACAGCCTTTCACAACCTATAATGGAAAAGAAAGGTGTTCCAGCAATTAAAGGTGCAAGCAAAAACTAAGCAGAGCAATTACATTTTTAGAAACATATGAAATAAATGCCTAGGATGAATAAAAATCACTCCTATTTCAATCCAGTCATGTTTTAAAGATGTTATGTTAAGCAAAATTGCCCTCACAGAGGGTAGCAAGTTTAGTTGAGGACCAGAAATATTTTTTCTTCCTTGATATAATGAAACAAATATCTCTAAATTTCTGCTTAAATTTACAATTTCTCTTTTACTCCCCCTACGCCCCCCGACAATGGTCAAAACACGTCTCCATAGCTTGGGTCAGGGCATTGTCTCTCATTGGCATACTGTGACTGATTTAAAAAAAACACACACAACTTATTTTAATGAACTGAAGAAAATAAAGCAGCATACTGACAATGGAGTATGTTGGATTGAAACCACTCTCCCAGTCAGATCCCAGAGCAACGGCTTGGCCTGCCTACACTGAACATCAAAGCATGTGATGTCCAAGGGGGAGAGTTCTTTTCCCTCAGGCAGAGACTCTGCCCTTCCCACAGTTCTACAATAAGTTTGATGTATCGGAGGACATCCCGGCTTCAGGGTTCATACTCATAAAACCCATCACCACCATTAAACCCAGAGACATTTATACTTAGCTAATAAACTCCATTAGTTTCCCCTAATTCTATAAGTTATGCCTTTTATGGATCTGCTCTAGCTATCAGGGGCACAACATCTGGAGTGGTAGTTTCTGCACACAAGGTATTAATCGACAAAGACCATGCACAATTTTGCTTTCACAGTAAAAAGGACAGGTGAAGCAGAGGGTAGGGGTCAGAAGGAACTTCTATCTGAAAAGTTCACCGTAAGAGAAACTTGCCTTCAAACGTATAGCTAGTTCAATCTTTTCAAAGTCCTTGACTTTACCACCTGACCCTACATGAACAACTGAACTTGACAAAAGCTCAGTGGGTAACACTTGAAAAGCAAACCAGTGCCATCACCGTGACCTACAAGGACAAGACCAATGAGTCTGTGATGCGCCATCTTGTGTGTCACGGAAGCCATCTCTCTCTTTGCTGTTCTCTAGTGCTTCTGCTCATGGGAAGAGAAGAGTCCATGGCACAAAGTGCAACAGTCTTTGCTCCTCAGAAAAGTTCTCAGGGGAAGTTCCAGGATACATTCTTCTCAGCTGACAGTTGCTGGGCTTTTCCCAAGTAGGGGCAAATAGCAGCTGATCCCAGTGATAGCTGTGATCCCATGTAGAGTGTGGGTTACAATAAATCTTCTTTCTCTCTGACTTTAATCTCCCATAAAGGTTTCCCAGATTGAACACAAAGTTTTCCTTTTTCACACACAGACTGAAGCCATCCAAAAAAAACAGTAATAATAACAACAGTAATAATAATAATAATAAATAAATAGAAGTGAATCCAAAGAAACTCTCTATGTCTGTACAGCAGAAGTGACAAAGTTTAAGTCAAATATTTGTTTCCCTTTTATTCATCCACATCAAAGGCAGGAATTCAACAAGGCATTGTTAGTTGTGGTGGGCAAACTGGAGAGTCTGCTGATATAACAAATTAGGTTTGTTAAGGCCTTTGTCTATGCAGAGTTTAGAGTAATGCAGAAGCCAGATTGGTTTTAAAAGAAAGGATAAAATCTGTGAAGCTGGGAAGACTTAAAAACAAAGTAAAAAGAACAGATAAAAGACAAAAATAGGGAGCAAACCAAGGGAGATGGAAAAGGAGAGAGAGAGAATGCCAAAAAGAAGTCCATACTGTGTCTACAATGAGAAGTCCACATTGCTTCCCTCTGAAAGCTTTACTCTGCATCTCTGTGGTTAATACTGTCAGAGTGAAGAACAACATGTTGGTGGCATCCAGTGGCAGTTACAAGATGTTCATCCTCTTGGCCATCTGAGTAGGTGCTTTGGGAAGGGTAGGTCTGGGAGACAGGGCTCTAGCCTAGAATATCCAGGTAGACTGGAGATGCCTTGGCCAAGTTCTGCAGGAGGGTGTGGATGCCCTTGATGTTCTTCCTCATGTGGGGTTCCCGCTGCCAGCACCCCAGCATCAACTCATAGACTTCCTGGGGGCATGTTCGAGGTCGTTGCAAGACTCGGCCCTGAGTAATGCATTCTATCACCTGGACAAAATGGAGATCAAGATAGATTCAGAAAAGAGCAAAGTGAATGCAGAGAAAAGAAAGGCAAACATAGTACTATTCATAACAAAGCCTCTCAATGTTTACTTTTGTTGGAAGAGAGAAACCAATGAAAGATATATAATAGTTTTTTTTCAATGGATATATAGCCATCTTTCAAGCCAGGCTGAGTTCATAAAGTCGGTGAAAAATAATTTATTTCTATGAACAACTCTCAAATATCATCCTAGAATGTCAAAGTGTTTTAGTTTCAATGGCCTGAGGTGGAACTTGAGTCACTTACTGTGAGGATATTTAGTGACAAGGAAATCCCAGGCTATATAAATAACCAGCATTTTGGATAACAAAATTGGCTAAAAGATATATATGGACCGGCAAAAGCATTAGACTAGAAAAACAAAATGCTTGAATTTTTGACAAGATGTGACTGAAATATGTTTAAAAAAAACGGGAGGAAGAAACTGAAAGCTTATTGGAATAAAAGCATTCTAGATGGGTTTTAAGTGCACTGGGATGTCACATATGCTACTCATTTACTAGATGAGCAGCACAAAGGGAATCTTCAGTCCCATTACCAGATTTGTTGGCGAACACTAGTCCTTTCTTTTTCTAGTGCATTTTAATTTGGAGAGTGAATACTTTTTAGTAGCAACCTTTAGGTGAAAAAGCAGCCATGCCATGTGAGAGGTGCAGTGCCCAACAAAACCATATAAAATAGTAATATTATGTCCTTATTTTCAGCCCCGGGACACTTCATCCTTGGTGTCAGTCTTGAGAGGGGGAAAGAATGGTATGGACTGCTGCACACCTCATTGTTTGATAGCTGGTACCAGGGTTGCTTGCCGTATGTAAAGATCTCCCACAACACGACTCCCAGACTCCAGACATCACTTTCTGTGGTGAACTTCCTGTACATGATGCTCTCTGGAGGCATCCAGCGAATGGGCAGCATTGTGTGGCCACCAACCTGGCAGAAAAAAAAAACAAAGAGTTACCCATCACTGCAAAGTCCTGTCTCACCAGGATGGGAAAAGGCATGAAGTGAGAGCAGAGAACAATTTTTTTTTTTGCTTTTTGGGCCACACCCGGCAATGCACAGGGGTTACTCCTGGCTCTGCACTCAGGAATTACTCCTGACGGTGCTCAGGGGACCGTATGGGATTCTGGGGATCGAACCCAGGTTGGCCGTGTGCAAGGCAAACGCCCTACCCGCTGTGCTATCGCTCCAGCCCCACAGAGGACAATTTTTAATTTTGTTCATAAGGAAGGGAAACATCATTTCTTTTTCATATCCAGCAACCAAGGGAAAAAGATAGAAATCACAGTTCTACCTCTGCTGTCAGTGTTCCTCCTCTCGAAACAATACAACAGAAACGATGACTCGGCAGATAGTCATTTTGGATATAATACACACATGTACTTTCTGTTATGAAGGTAACTCAAAACACTAAAAAGATAACATGGGACACAATAATAAGAAGGATCCACAGTCCAAATGACCCCCCCACCCCCGAAGAGGACTCCAAGAAAAACGCTCTGATTCTTTTGAAAAGTCAGATCCTTTTTCTGCTTTAGGATGTTCTATTAGTCTGACAACTGTGCAGCTTGTGAGCTTCCTTGCCTCAACATGGCAATGTGAAGAGAAAAAATTATTCATATTTTAGATGAGTCAAGTGAAGTTCAGGTTACTATAAATGCAAAAAGACAAGCCTCATCAGCATTTTGGATAACAGAATTAGCTAAAAGAATATATGGACCTGGAGAAAGTAAGCAAAAGCATTAATCTAGGAAAACAACTTGAATTTTTGACTAGAGGTGAGTTAAAAATGGAAAATACCAAAAAGATAAGTTACAATTTCGATTGTCAAGAATTTAGAATATCTAGGTGATGGGTAGAAAGGGGTAGGGAGATAGGGATGAGGCAGACAAGAAGTTACATGAGGACAGTAACTTCGTAAGAAAGAAAGAAAAATAATTCTGTTGTCAGACTATTCCAGGTCTGTATTTCAGTACTATGATTAAATTTTGGCACAGTAGCTCTCTGTGAACAGATAAGTTCACCGGATGGCAGGGCTTGACCTCACCAAGAAATCACAGACCCTGAGTTCTTACACTATTGTAATATAGAGCTTTTGTTGATTGTAATTCTTGATATTTGTTTATAACCCACTAAAGAAATAAGTTAACAATACCTGAAAATGCTGCTTAGCTCTAGAACACAAAGACCAGGCTTTCATTGACATCTATTATGTTTAATGATTTCAAATGATAGTATCAGGCTGGAGCAATCGCACAGCGGGTAGGGCATTTGCCTTGCATGCGACCAACCTGGGTTCGATTCCTCCATCCCTCTAGGAGAGCCCGGAAAGCTACCGAGAGCATCCAGCCCACATGGCAGAGCCTGGCAAGTGCCCCATGGAGTATTCGATGTGCCAAAAACAGTAACAACAAGTCTCACAATGGAGACATTACTGGTGCCTGCTCGAGCAAATCGATGAACAACAGGAGGACAGTGCTATGGTGCAGTGCTATGAAAATTGGTAAGAGGATTGAGGGATAAAAAGAGGACTCAAACATTCTGAAACAGTGTAGTGTCTTCAAAATATTCTGCACTAGCTCCCTGAAGTTTCTTTGGTACATTTGTCAAACACACAGGCACACACACACATACACACACACACACACACACACACTTGTAAACTTCTTCACATCTTATAAATTTGTAAAGTACAGAGCCTTAGAGTTATTTTAGGAGTTTGGTAAAAATCATTTAATTTTAACTCAGTGAATTAAGCACATCTGAATGTGGGAAATGAGAAGAGAGAAAACCAAGTATCCATGTCACATAACAAACAGCTATGCTGACATGTCTCAATCTTGCAGGATTCCATGCTCTCTCCCCCACCTCCCGCACCAGGACTCCACAGCCACATGCAGGGGACAGCAGTCATCTCCTTATTCTATATTGTGAAAAGATACAAATTTATAGTCTTCAAAAGAATGTCCTGGGGGGATGATTTACTGCAGATGACTAGAGTTAATAATGTATTTCATATTAGAAAGTTGCTTAAAGAGTAATTTCAGCAGAAGAAATAAATGTACAACTATGCTTAGTGAAATATGTTATGAGAATTTTGGGGGTTGATTATTTCACAATATACAAATAGCAAATTATTGACCACCTGAAATTAATATTATATTTCAATTTGCATACAAGCTGACTATTGGCCAACCTGTGAGTTTAAACCTCACTTCAAAAGATCCCTGTATGTGCAAGGCCTTGAGTTTGATCTCCTGAAACCACAGGGGCTGCACTACTTACCTCTCAGCCCACCACTCTTAGCACTGTAAGGCGGCCCCAGTCACGCAGACAGAAGTTGTGCAATTGTTTGATGAATGTTAATGGACTAAATGCTTCCAAGGTTTTGTTTCCTTCCCTGAAAGTTTCACTATCTTACTTCCTCAGTGGGAAACAGCTGTTCCTAACACCGACCCTCTGTGTTCCTCTCAGCAATGGCAAGTGCATCAGTAGTCCCAGGAAGAAGAGTGATACTGATTTCATTGCAGTCTGTCTCACTTTGCGAATGACCAAGGAAAAATCTTGTTTTCTTTAGAGGAGACAAAAATAAAATCAAATTTTGATTTACATGTTTTCCCATCTGATCATTTATTTTATCCTTCCAGTCTCCCTGGGACAAATTTTTCACTTTAATTCTTTCAAGAATCCCTTCTGGGATTTCACACATACTGTTATAAATAATGCTGTCCTTGTTCTGATGGCAAATGGGCAAGTGGAGGGGGAATGTAATCGAAGTTCAGACAAGGTTCACAAGTTCAGAAAGCCCGATTAGAACATTTCTGTACTTTCTTTTTTTCTTTGCATTCCCTTTTCAGTATTTTGGAGAATTGTTGCAAAAGTAGTCCTAACAAAAAAAGTCAACTCACCATTGTTTCAAACTACACACTCCAGTTAATAACTAGATGGTTGGGAACCTTATAAAATCATGTACCGTGTAGCAGCGAACACAACGAGTCATTTGTTTCGTATTGTGTTACTTGACAACTGGCCCCTCACATCCTTGCTTAAATATTTGTGAGTTGAAATGTCATTCTAGGTATGATGCTGGGAGTCAGAACTATTGCTTTGTCTGCTGAAAGAGTCTCCCCAGTGATCAAGTTAGATCAAGTTAGGTCATTTTCCTCACTTAGCACTAGGTTCCACTTTTGAAAGTTGGAAAATCCAATTAGCTGAGGTTTTCATTTAGACTTAGGGATTTTTTAGTTCCCTCAATTCAAGAGTAGGGTTCTAGTTATGTAATCACTGGTCATTGTCACTGTCCTCCCATTGTTCATCGATTTGCTCGAGCGGGCCCAGTAATGACTCCATTGGAGACTTTGTTGTTACTGTGTGTCGCATATCGAGTACGTCACGGGTAGCTTGCCAGGCTCTCCGAGAGGGGCGGAGGATCGAACTTGGGTCGGCCACATTGGCTGCGTGCAAGGCAAACGCTCTATCGCTGTGCTATCGCACAATGGATAGCGCATTGGACTTCTAGCGATGAGAATTATGTAATCACCCACCACCAAGTAATAGCACACTCATCTCCCGAGCCCTACTCAGTTATCTCATTAGAACTCAATAGCTACCTTCTATAGTAGACACTGTCTTATCTCCATATTGCAAATAATGTTCCAAGAGTTTAAGATAGGTTAGGCACTTTCCTAAAGCCACATGCTCTCTACATTTCTGCTTTCTGTAGCTTACAGATTCGGTTCTGTATTTAGCCACTAGTCTTCTTATTCCTCCTCACCCCACCTACACATGCTGCTTGATAATCTTTATCTTCTTTCCTACTCATCTATTTTCCAAAGGAGTCCTAAAGGAAAGTGCAAGTTCTCCCATTCCAAAGAATTCTATGCTATAGCTTAGCGAATCTTGAGTGCACTGGGAAGCCCAGGTCCCTTAGCACAACTCTGGTAACAATATAGACACTCTCTCGTTTGGATAACAGACAAATTGTCTCAAGATTAATTGTTATTAATCAGTTATGATTGGAAGGGCATTAAAGTGGGTATTTGGTAAACATGCCATATCTTTAAGTGGGTTTCTTGCAAATGCTACTATTTGAGGAGAAAGTCTCAATTCATTTTCTCAAAGAGATCGGTATTCATTATCTTTGTACTTCCTCTTTTTACAAGTCTTTTTTTGGGTCAGACCTTCCAAAAAAAGGACTTTGTTCAAGGCTTACTCTTGGTTCTGGCTCAGTGCTCCTTGTAGTTTTGGGGGGAACCATGTGTGATGCCAAATATCAAGCATGGGTTTGTCACATGCTAGGACTTACCTAATGTACTATATCTTGGCCCCACTGTTCTGCAATTTATTTATAAACCTGGTCAGATTAAATGCTTAAATGGTTTGAATTTTATTAATGCTACAAAAAAGCAGCATTCAATAAAATCCATATTTCCAATGCACACAAAATTCTGAGGTTCACATAGAATATGAGAGCTCTCCAAGTTATGTGAGAAACATCATTTATTGAATTTCCATTGTACTGTAGACATGATTGTCTATGGTGCAGACCTGGTACTAAATTAGATGGAAATCAGTCTAGAAAGATGCAAAAAGCTCAACATGAGAAAGTGGTACCCTACTAATGGTGGCCAGCATTTCATATCTGCTGAGGAGAAAGAAGAATGACAAAAAAAAGAAGGAAAGTGTATCATGAAAAAAATTAGAGTGGATAATTAACAAGGCTGTCATTGCGAAACATTTAAATCAGTGAAACTACTCAGAAAAATTGTCCAATCTCCATGGCCAAAAAGAAATTTCACAGTGCTAAAATGAGTTAATTTATGGAAATCAATGGATTTTGTTTCTGTTTTTTTCTACTTTTCTTTTTCTGGCTTTTGGATCACATCTAGCTGTGCTCAGGGCTAACTACTGGCTCTGTGTTCAGGTATCAC